CGGTGAGCATAAACCATGCACATGCAGATAATACGAGTATATTCTCGAATGCAGCGCTGCTACCTGTGCAAGTACGTGAAAACTACTACTGCATGACACGCACACAGTCATTATATATATATATTATATAATATATATAAAATAAAATAATGAAAATTAGGCATAGAAAAATCTACGTCGTATATAAACATGTTGTAACGTGGATGGACACAGCATAGCTAGGTAAATGACTGCGAAACACCTTGCGACCAAATACACGCAAGGCAACAATGAGAGTACGGCTTTTTCTATGAAGTCAGAGCCGGAACCGTTGCTATGCAATCAGTTGGTAAACACGTTCCAACAATACAGGCTGTTTTCTCCATGGTCAGTGCGGAGGCTATATAACGACAGTTACAGACAGAACAGATGCCAGATGGGATTTGCGAGTCGTAAGAGGGGACGAAAAGAGAAGTCTCAAATCTGAGACAGTAAAATATGATCACGAGTCTCAAGGGACTCGGACCCAAGAAAGACTGCCCTGGCAAGGGCCAGCAGCATATACAAAGACACACCCGTCCTCTCGTCAGAGAGGGCGACTCACAAAATCAAGACCGTAACCGTCAAACAGTAATAAATATCTGGTCGCAAGCCCCAGATGGGGCTCGAAACCAAGACTTACTGACTGACTGACCGTCAGTCGCAATGTGACTTTGACTTTGAACAGATGCCGATATTTGGAGAGTATTCATCAGTACTTGGGAGTTTTCGAGAGTGTTTTAGTGTTTAAGTGACAGTGAAAGACTTCTCTGTGGAAGATAACCACGGAAATTTCGTCGTGAGAAGAATAATATGTAGTGATTGTGAATTGTGTAATTCAGCAAGAGTGTCATAAGTAATTGTAGTTACGACCTGTAAGTGATTAATAAAACCAATTACCAATACGAACGGCGTCCTCAGTAGCCAAACACATTACAATATACAGTATATCCTAATAAAATAAGGAACAAATTATGTGTCCGTTTTTTTTTTCAGAATTCGGAATGGTATATGAGTACTGGGCCGCTCACGGTAGCCGTGCGGTCTAAGGCATGTACTGTCTTCGCTCTCTTGGAAACCGGGATCGTGGGTTCGAAACCCACTCAGGGCATGGATGTTTAGTTTGTGTGTGTGCGTTTTTCTGTGTTTGTGTTCAGGTAGAGGCCTTGTGACGAGTTGATCACTAACCCAAGGAGTCCTACCAAATGTGTAAGATCTAGAAAAATCGAAGTGAACGGAGAAGTTCATGGAGGTAGGCCTAGGCCCACTGGGGCAGTAGTGCCAAGGAAAAAGAAATATGAATACTGAGAAGCTTGTAAGCGGACAGGTTGAAACATTTTATGCAGCAATATAAGATGAGTTTTATTCTGTCCTGAATTTAATTTAGAGACCAGCTGAATAAACGTTAGTGAAGGCTAACGTGCGTCGCAGCCTTTAATCTGTTTCATTTTGCTTTTCGAGACAACGTCATGACTCGAACTGCGAGTTTTAATTAACACACGCTACATGGACACTGGAAGCGAGAGTCCATTTCGTAGTAAGTAATCCTTTTGTTGCCTTTTATATAAAGTTACCCCAAGCGTGTTATACGGAAAAGAGTGTACAACGAAATGTAGAATAGCTATATTTTAATAAAAAATAGATGATACCTTACATCAGAAGGGTCGATCAGTTTGGGGATTAGGTGCGGTAATAACTCATACAAAATGGAAATAGCTTATCTTTGTTTTACCCCAAGAAAAGAGAAATATATATGAGGATATTTGTGGTTACACTGGCTCCTGGTAGGTCCTGATTATAGTATTTAAAGTTACAGTAAAATACTTCCATATTTCACAACAAAAGAAATTATTATCGTCAGATGAATTAAATCATCTATTTAAGGGAATTCTTGTTACGCCCACGAATTCGCATGTTTCAATATAGCAGACCTAATCATGACATAGCTGCGCCACAAATGACATAAAGCCATGGAAATTGAATTTGTGTATTTCAGCTCACTTCTAATTATAAAGAGAAATGAGCTGTACTACACAGATAAAAAAATTATTACTAATAGTTTACTTGTAATTCACCACATAGAATCGCTTCTATAGTTAATGCAGCATCTTTGAGCAATCAGTGTACTTCGTTTGTTTTCAGATTTAGCCTTCAATGGAGGCGTTTAGACTGCACGCAAGACAAATATGTGGGATATGTTGCATACAAACCCGGCGAAACTCATCCTTACCATCAGTCTGGGCATGCCTTTTCTTCGGCCGTGAGATGGAAGAATGCAATGAAAATACAAAGTTCGATGCTTAAAATCGAATGCACAATGTTTTCTTGCACTGCTGTGCTATTGGGAAGCCCTGTCTATCGGACCCTATACTGAGAGAGGTTGAGTAGGCCGACATTCCCACGTGCAGTGTCTCTAAGGTCGGCTTGAATGTTATGTTCTGGTGTTAATTTACGGCCAGGTTCCTCTAGTGTATTTTTCCTCAGGTTTATTTTCTGAGATTTGTAAACAACTTCTCGTTTCTCCTAAGTCTGTACCATATTCCACCCTTACATTACCCTTACTACCTTACATACCAAGAGAAGAAAAGAGAGAAGAGAGAAGAGAGAGGAGAGAAGAAAGAGAAGAAAGAGAGGAGGGGAGAGGAGAGGAGAGGAGAGGAGAGGCTAAGGCATGTTGAAAATGCTCAGTAATTTAATCTTCGCTGTCCTTTCATTTCTGCACATTTATTTAGCCGAAATATGTTTTTCGGTACTTTTTCTCTATCACCCTAAATTTGTCTTAGTTTTTCGCAGCCTATATCTAAATTCTAAATGTTTAACTTCGGCAGTGTACGCCGAAACGTTGAAACAGCTGCAGCATATGCTGAGACGAAATCCAAAGATAACCACCCTCAGTGTGTTCATCGAGTACCGGGAGGAATTCAGTCTTTATCACGCCCGTATAAGATAAGAGTTCAAGTTGCAGTCTGTATAAGTTGTGATCTTAACATTCTCAGGCAGAAGGTGGGAAGAACAAGAATCTAAACCGACTGAAGAGCAAATATAGAGCAAATTAAATTTTTTCTTAACTTCATTGAGAATGCAATTTTAATTCAACACAGTCGATCGCAAATAGTTTAGATAAATCACATTTTTATAGAATTTATTAGTGATCTTTATTTTTCGCTCTGTGATGACATCATAACATGTGCCAAGTGATTTGATGGTTTCGAGCGGAGGGGAATATGCAATTTGTGTCGCGCCATACGTGTTAACATCACATTTCATTTTGTGTTTGAATAATTAATAAGGTGTAATCAAAGCAGGCCCTTGTTGCCAAATCAACCGAAACACATAATATCAAGCTTAAACGTGCCGCAAAGCAAGACGTTTTAGAATCATTCATTTCCGAAAGGCACCCTTTATTTTCTTCCCGTTTCAATTTTCGGAAACAGTCACTTTTACATAAATTTTTAAAAAGAGACAGAAAAATTATGCCTTAGAAATAGTAACTCTATCATGGTTCTAATTCTGATATTGTGTTAATATTATTATTATTACCAAAATAATGTACTTCTGATATTTCATAAATTTGAAAGGAGAACAATTTTTTCACAACCTTAAATGTATAAATGGATTTGAAGAAAGGCGTCTCCAAAACATTAACTAATTAATGCAATGAGTAGGTGTGCTATAATTTAGTCATTTTCGTGAATATTTTTCTTCCTGGTGGAAGGGGGAAACTGTGGCCACAATTATGAATTATGCATATGTGTGTGTGTATGTTGTGTGTGTGTAGGTTAGAGGGGTAGCAGTGTCTCCTCACCCTCTTACCTCTGATATCGGTATCAAGATGAATTTGGATTTTGAAGATGTGATATGGATTGGACGGACTAACATGGGGCTGTGTTTCAGTTGCAGACTTTTGTGATGACAGTGCTGCATTTTCGGGTTCCACAACACGGGATTTCTTGATCAACTAAGTAACTACAACTACTCAAGGAAAACCCAGTTCCACGAGTTTCAGTTGTGTAGTTACGTCTATTAAAGTTTGAGGTGTTGGCTCTTTGTCTATTTTCCGTATTTTGTAAAGAAGAGGTGGCTTGTAGAACCCCCGTATCCGTAGCAATAATTTCTCTGACAAGTTTCTACATAACTCACAACTCCTCATTAAATTTGTACAGACGTAACGTCACTAGATGCCGGTCACGGTAGCTGAGTGGTCTAAGGCATGTACTGTCTTCGCTCGCTCGGAAGCCGGGATCGTGTGTTCGAATCCCACTCAGAGCATGGATGTTTTTGTGCGTTTTTCTGTGTTTCTGTACATGTAGAGGCCTTGCGACGAGCTGATCACCCGCCCAAGGAGTCCTACCGTCTGTGTAAGAACTAGTAAACCGAAGTGAAACGGAGAGTTTCATGGAGGTAGGCCTAGGCCTAAATGTGGGCTGTAGTGCCAATAAAAAAAAGTCACTAGATAACACCTCACCTTTGAACATCCAATTTCCCAAAATAATTAAAACGAACAAGTTTTCCATTAAAATTTATGGCAAATATAGTGGATTGTGAGGACCCTAGGTGTCATATCTGACAAGTGTGACTTAGTCAGCCTTAATACTAAGGACCATGTTGCACAGAAATGCATAATTGCATTCTCTAGTTACTGACTTACATTTTTGCTGGCCTCAGTATACAGATTTAAGCATCTGAGGAAAAGTAAGTGCCGATTACAGAAACGCCTGGCTAAGGCATGAAATGTCTCCGCTCACTCGAACACTGGGACCATGTGTTCAAATCCCACTGAAGACATGGATATTTGTCTGTTTTCTCTGTGTTTGTGTAGTCTTGTACAGGCAGAGGCCTCGAGGCAAGACTGATCTCTGGTCCGTCAGATTAATGTTGAATGGGAAGAGGCGAGAGGGCCTAATCCGTCAAGAATAAGAGTAGGAGGAGGAGGAGGAAGAAGAAGAAATTAAGTGTCATAACTATTGCTTCTATGTTCGCAGGAGGAGCCAAGCTACTGGGACAACTTCCTGAGGAAGACGGTGCGAACTCTGGTGTAAGAAGCGACTACTGACGTCATAATGGCTGCAGCGACGGCGGCCGAAGCAGCGGCAGCAGCTGCAAGGGCCAAGAAATTGAACCTGGAAAAGGCCACGAACTTCATGAGGCAGTATCGCGACCCTCAGAGCCGGGAACTCAAGAAATTGTCTGCCAACCAGTTTATGGAGGTCTGGAGCCACTACGACAAGGATGGTGAGTACGTTTAGGCAGATAACTTGTTTCCTGAATGGACCACAAATAAACACAACAAAATTCATATCCCATTGGACCTAATTCTGTTGAAAGTAAAGATATGGTGGCATGTAGATCCGTTGATAGGCAACGACCTCGAAACAAGTAACTAGCCAACGACCTTTACTAGGCAGCGGTCAGTAAGCAGCAACAGACGAACATTGTTTTCTGTGTTCTCCGTGCCTAGATATTATAGCACGAGAGTTGGTAAGAGTCAGTTGAGTTGAGCGAGTTTTTTGGTGAGTGACTGAATCAGTCGGTCAGTGAGTTAGTCAGGGAACAGCTGCGGTTCAGTCGTTGTGAGCTGTTGCTGTTAGTAGCTGGTACCTGAGGCCGGGAACAGTTCGGGAACCCAGAGGAAGAAGAACGTCCGCCGTTGGAAGCTGCTACCAAGCAACGGCAGTGAAGACGTGACTGTGGACACCAGTGTGTGTGTGTGTGTGTGTGTGTGTGTGTGTCAGTGAACTGTAAAGTATAGTCACACACTGTATCAAAGAGTCCAATAAATCCGGTCATCAATAAAATACCCGTCTATAGTCACACTCCATAAAATCGTGACAATATTAATAATAGACTGTTAGGTAATCTCTGATACATTTTACTTCACGCAGTGCTTTGTTCATACGCTGAACGGGTTAATGGGGTCTGACTTTTCGCTCGAAATGAATCCATACACGTATAAGATTGTTTATTTGAAATTTCTTAGAGAGATCTTTATGAATTTATGGAACGCGAATTCAAATTTAGTCTATATCTGTTCTCTATATATCTAATTTACATAACGACCTTTCAGCTTTCTCCCAAATGAGTATTCGTACAAAATATGTAAAAGGTAAAAGGTAAAGGTAAAATTGTCTATGTGCTTAACTAATTAACCATTACGCCATGAAGGCGTATGGGGTAGTGGATGTATAGGTCCGTAGTCTCTTCATCTTGGCACTAGCTGGAGGTAAGTGGTCAGCTTCGCACCTTGGCCGCTTTAATCCCTGAGAAATACCCTCCCCAACCATTGGATAGGAGGTCGCGAGGACCCCAGAGCCGGTCTGGATGATTGGAAAAGTGAAAATTCTTGACCCTACCGGGACTCGAAATCCGATCAGCCCGTAGCCAGTCGCTGTACCGACTGAGCTATCGCGGCTCCACAAAAGAAGATGTAGGAGGCAAAATGTGAATGTTATTAAGAACTTAAGATTTCTTTGATTACAATAATCACTCCTATGTAGTGCAATGTCTACAGAACTGATTACCTTCTTCAGAGATAAATTTATATGTGTAATAAATGGAAACCAAGTCTAACAGATGAGTATGAATATGAGGCGTGAGCCACAGAAACCGGCCCTCGTACTGCGACCTTCAATGATCTATTGTGGTTCCCCTTTGGATTTTTTTTCCTTGGCACTACATCCCCAGTGGGCCTAGGCCTACCTCCATGAACTTCCCCGTTCACTTCGGTTTACTAGATCTTACACATTCGGTAGGACTCCTTGGGCGGGTGATCAGCTCGTCGCAAGGCCTCTACCTGTACACAAACACAGAAAAACGCACACACACACACAAACTAAACATCCATGCCTTGAGTGGGATTCGAACCCACGACCCCGGTTTCCAAGCGAGCAAAGACAGTACATGCCTTAGACCGCTCGTCTACCGTGACCGGCCCCCTTTGGATTAACCCTTTGTTATTCCTACACTGCGATTGAAATGTAGGACTTTATTTATGGTTGTGTCATAAAAGTCACTTGGTTCCATGAAGAATTGACCCAGGTGGCGATATCTTAGGTAACCTATACGCTCACAATCACATAAGATGTGTGTGGCTGATTCAGCTCATTGTAGGCACCTTTCAAAAGTTGGGCCGTCTGTTAGCCCCAGTTAAATTTAATAGATATTGCGAAAGCTCAAATTGCACGTATGGAGAATACATTCTGAATGTTCTGTGAAGTATGTCGCTAATCATTGTACCCAAATGGATAAGTAACTATGTGAGTCAGTTGCTGAAGAACGGAGACTCCTGGTGCGTCCGTAGTCATGTAGTCTAATATAAACTGGAAGGCCACAAAATGTGGGAATATCACGAGATGTATGTCCTTCCGCAGTTCAAAACCTCTGATTCTGTTTGTCTGAGGAATTTAGCCGCAACCTCTCAGTTGTATCCCCCCATCCAGCTCACTGAAGCACGGAGTTGGACATGCCTATGGAATCTCGTGGTTACTCCTGCCATGTCTGCAATCCCGCTGTACAGTATTTTGCCAGTGGTGAACTTTGTCTTTACATTGCTATAATCCAGCCCCGGTTGGAACTACAGTTTCGCAGAGTAACATGTCGTTTGATAAACAGAATTGAGAGGATTGTGAGAAGGAAATTATTTTAAAATTTTCTTTAACATAACAACATTTTAAATATATTCCGATCTTAGTTTCGGAAGAACTTTTCATCAATTAGAACGACTTCATTTTAGCGTCTTACATTACACCTCAAAGAATCATAGTCCTCTATATCTTGCGTCCCTCAGGTCATTATGACCCGCGATAGTAAAAACGAAATATTAGTTTCCTAAGAAGTGTATGTTTACGATTATTAATACTTTAATAGAATATTATATTAATCATCAACAAAAATCATTGGTAAAACTATATGTGTGTGTGTGGGGGGGGGGCTGAGTTGCATTCATATCAACTGCAGCAGCTATCTGCGCCTAAGATCTTAGAGCCCTTACCAATTCATGGTAACGTTATATTACTAAGTAATAAAAACCTTGCATTTATTTTGTATAATTATGATTACACTACAGCACTAATGAACAGTTTGTGCTTGTGATGCAGGAAATCTCTTATATGGCTGAATTTTGTGTGAGGGATTTAATTATTAGTTTCTAGTTCCAAACCGCCGACCATAAGTTCTACCAGTGGGGCCTGTCCCGCCGGTTGTGAAACACTGTTTAGTAGACTTTTGTTACGAGGAAGACAGTGAGTAGTAACTGGCAAGTTCTAATTAGTTCTTATCTGGCGTGTTCTTAGCATACAGCAAGGCAGGATCATTTAGCCTGTATGATACAATAATGGGAATATGCAGCATCAAATAGCCACTTGGTAAAACCAAGAAATATAAAGAAGTGCCAGTAAACCCAATCGTCAAATCCAGAACCCACTGTTACTACACAGATACTGGGTTTTCGTACTTTGTCCATCGTCCGGATTCTAAATAACTAAGAAAAAACACAACGTTTAGGAAACTGGATCTGTTTCCGTCCTCAGGTGAGGGAAGACACTTACTCTGTTGAGTCCCTTAGAAAGAGCTAGCCTCAATCACTGGAAAGATTCAGTTTCCGAAAAGTTTTGTTTTTTATTATTTATTTAGAATCCGGACGATGGATAAGGTCCGAAAACCCAGTATCTCTGCGTGTTATATACCATCGTCAGAACCCTACAGTATCTACCGTTATTATAATCACGCAGACTCCAAATACGTGACAGTATATACAAAACTGGCATAGACAGTGTCCATCCGGCCCTCTGTAGCACATTCTTATGAACATCTTATTCTATCACAACGGTCATCCTGCGATTTTGGATATACCTCTTAATTTAACTTTATGAATATACTGTTAATATTTTGTACATATCTTTCGTTGGGACACGCGGTGGCATAGTTGATCGAGGCACTATGCTATAAGCTGGAAGGTCGCGGGTTCAAATCCAGATGAGGTGGATTTTCTCTATTTATCTAATTTTTCCAGCTCCTGGGTTCGACTCGGCTTCTAACAGAAATGAAAATCAGTAGTTTTCCTGCGGGGTAAAGGGCGGCAGGCGCGTAAGGCTGACAACCTTACCGCCATCTCTGAGCCGATTGTCTACAAAATGTAGGAGCCTCAACCTCTCACAACCATATGGGCTTTCACAGCCTGTTACAAGTGAAACGTTACCTTACCTTTGCATATATTTCTTTTACTTTATGTGTCGCTATCTGACGTTTAATTACTGCAATGTTTCAAATATAGGGTTACACATGTCAATAGACTCTTATGTGTCATTGACGTGCAATCTGTTTTCATTCATTTTGTATGTATGTCATTTTTCTAGTATGTTAAGATATTTTTTCTTTTTCCTCTCTTTTTAAGACTTTCATTGTGTCAGCTACACTCCCATATGCGTTTGCTATGTTTAATGATCCGAATGTCCTTAGTTACGATTGTTATTCCTGATTGCCTGTATGTGCTCTTTATATCTAGTCTGAAACATTCGGCCGTCTGTCCTATGTGCTTCAGTGGGAAATCCATACATCTCATTTGGAATACACCACGTTTTTGTACCCATCCATTTGCGGGCTGAGTTTTACTATGTTTTGTATTCTGTTCCTTGGTCGGAAGGCACTGCACAACAGTTTCCTCAACTATAATTTTAAACTTCTTATGATGACCATTTTGGTCGAAACACGTAGTGAAAAACTTTTAAAATTTAAAAGTTATGTGATGTGTAAAACTTTTAAAGTGAATAACTTTCAGTAAGTTTCATAGAAGGACGTGTTGCACGTGAGACGTTGAAACCAGCAACAGTTGATACTATAGTATGACCGATAAATTTGTATAAATTATGCTGTACATGTACTTCCAGTGTACCGTGTTGCTACTGGTTCCCTCTAGCTTCCAGCTGTCGACATGAGAAACCTCATGTAATATCAAGGTAATGCCAGTGAGGATAAAGGTAAAAGGAGAAGTTGTCCCTCTGTTTAACCGGTTAAGCGCTACGCCATGGAGACTTATGGGGGAGTGGATGTACACGTAGATCCACATTTTCTTGACCTTGGCACTAGTTGGAGGTGAATGGTCAGCTTCACGCTTCGGCCTAACCCCCTGAAGGAGCCCCAGATACCCATTGTATAAGAAACTGGGTGTACCCCAGAGCCAGTCTGGACGATTGGAGAAGTAAAAGTTTTTATCCTACCAGGACTCGGATTCCAGCTCC